GTGGAACCAACCCAAATGCCCATCAATGATAGACTGGACAGGGAAAATGTGGCACATATATACCGTGGAATATTATGCAGCCACCAAAAACGATGAGTTTGTGTCCTTTGTAGGGACATGGATGAACCTGGAAACCATCATTCTCAGCAAACTGACACAAGAGCAGAAAATCAAACATCGCATGTTCTCACTCATAGGTGGTGTTGAACAATGAGAACACATGGACACAGGGAGGGGAGCACTACACACTGGGGTCTGTTGCGGGGAAAATAGAGGAAGGACAGCGAGGGGTGGGGAGTTGGGGAAAGATAGCATGGGGAGAAATGCCAGATATAGGTGATGGGGAGGAAGGCAGCAAATCACACTGCCATGTGTGTACCTATGCAACAATCTTGCATGTTCTTCACATGTGTCCCAAAACCTAAAATGCAATTAAAAAAATAAAAATAAAAATAAAAATAAAAAAGTAGTGGGCAAAGGACATGAACAGACACTTTTCAAAAGAAGACATGCATGCGGCCAACAAGAATATGAAAAAAATACCCAATATCACTAATCATTAGAAAAATGCAAATCAAAACCTCAATGAGATAACATGTCATGCCAGTCAGAATGACTACTATTAAAACGTAAAAAAATAATAATAATAACAGATGCTGGTGAAGTTACAGAGGAAAGGGAATATTTATAAACTGCTGGTGGGCCTATAAATTAGTTCAGTCATTATGGAAAGCAATGTGGCAATTTCTCAAAGAACTTAAAACAGAAGTACCATTCAACCCAGCAATCCCATTGTTGGGTACATATCCAGAGGAATATAAATCAGTGTGCCATAAAGACACATGCACACATATGTTCATCACAGAACTATTCACAATAGCAAAGACATGGACTCAGTCTAAATGCCCATCAACAGAAGACTGGATAAGGAAAATGTGGTACATATACACCATGGAATATTATGCAGTCACAAAAAAAAGAATGAGATCATGTCCTTGGCAGCAACAGGAATGGAACTGGAGGCCATTATCCTAAGTAAACTAATGCAAAAAGAGAAAACCAAATACTGCATGTTCTCACTTATAAGTGTAAACTGAACATTATGGACACAAAGGGGAACAGACACTGGGGCCTACTTGAGGGTGAAGAGTGGGAGAAGGGAGAGGATTGAAAAACTACCTATCATGCACTATGCTTATTACCTGGGTGACTAAATAATATGTACAATAAACCCTCATGACATGCAATTTACCTAAATAACAAACCTGTATATGTACCCCGAACCTAAAATAAAAGTTTTTAAAAAAACCCCAAAACCCTACAATGAGATATGATCTTACTCTAGTTAAAATTGCTTTTATCCAAAAGACAAGCAAAAACAAATGCTAGAAAGGATGTGGAGAAAAGGGAACCCTTGTACATTTTTGGTGGGAATGTAAACTATTATAACCACTATGGATAACAGTTTGGAGTTTCCTCAAAAAAACTAAAAATAGAACTACCACATGATCCATTAATCCTACTGCCAGGAATATATCAAAAAGAAAGGAAATCAGTACATCAAGGAGACACCTGCACTCCCATGTTCATGTTTACTGCAGCACTACTCACAATAGCCAAGATTTGGAAGCTACCTAAGTGTCCATCAGCAGAAGAATGGATAATGAAAATGTGGTACATTTACACAATGGAGTACTATTCAGCCATAAACAGAATGAGATCCTGTCATTTGCAGCAACATATATGGAACTGGAGGTCATTATAAGTGAATTAAGCCAGGTACAGAAAGACAAATTTTACATATTCTCACTTGTTTGTGGAAGCTAAAAATATTAAGACAATTGAACTCAAGGAGGTAGAGATTAGAATGATGATTAGAGGCTGGGAAGAGTAGTAGTGGGGGAAGTGGGGATTGCTACTGGTTACAAAAATATACTTATGAAGAAGGAAATCAAATAATAGCAATAATAGTAAAATAAAACCTTATAATTTGCAGTTTCTAGATAATAAAGTAAATTTTGCTGTGGTGTGTGCTGTTTAATAACCTAACCCTTAGCTCTGCTTAAAATTAAGTAACTCCCTGTAAAACCTACTTTATCTCTTCTACCCACATTCTTGGCAAAGTTCCCAGGCATCTCAAGACTCCTCTTCTTGCTGCCCAGCTGCAAGGTCACAGGGTGAGATAACACCTAAAGAATGTACAACGTGCTTCTCAAAATGCTGTTTTTCAAATGTAACGTACATCACAAGACATATTACAAATTAATTAACTGTTTTTTGTTCTGGCTTCCGTAAACCTATTAGCTGCTACATCATCCTGGATGTATAAAAAGTACCCCATTTTCTTTCTCTTTTGCTCAGCCTTGGAATGCTAATCCACTGAGCCGGTGGCCACATTAATAAAATCTTCCTGTTTCACCCATTGGTTTCTCCAGTCTCCTGAATATTCTGCAATACTTACATAAAATTAATAAGATCTATTGTCTCTTAGAACAAAAGGATGGCTACAGTCAACAATAATTTATTGGACATTTCAAAATAACTAAAATAGTATAATTGGATTGTCTGTAACACAAAGAATAAATAAATGTTTGAGGTGATTTACTCTGATGTGACTAGTAAGCATTGTATGCTTTTTTTTTTATTTTGCATAACAAGTTTATTTTTTTAAAGGCCTATAGACAATAAACAAAGTAAATAATCAGATCTTAACTTCTGTCCTAGAATTGTTAAGTTCTAGTCTATAAGCACTTTTAGTTCAATAATCGTCATCTTCATCAGAGTCCATTACCTTTCTTCTGTTGAATTTCACTGTTGTTGTCTTTTCTCTTTGCTGGCTTACTTTTTTAAGGATTTCTATTAAACCTTGTTCCGATACCTTCTCACTTATTTGTCCATATCTTGCCATCTGTATAAGGTAATTCTCTACTGCTTTAGTTTTTTCAGGCTTTACAAGTGCCAAGTTACTTAACCTGGCCCGGGCTGACTGATCCAGCACTTGGGCTAAGATAGTTTCTCATTTCTGCTTCCCTGTGCTTTGCTTCCTGTTGTGCCGCATCGCCAGGATCCCCGTGCTTGGCCTGCAGCTCCGCCAGCCTCTGCCTCCTCAGCGCCTCCAGCTCCTCTTCCGCCATGGCACGGCGTCCGCGGTGGAGCAGCCGCCGTCACTCAGCCGCATTGTATGCTTATATCAAAATATCTCATATACCTTCTACATGTCTACAAAAATTTTTAAAAATAAGAATTGGCTTAAAAAATGCAGTTTCCTGGGCCCCACCCTAGACTGATGGTCAGATTCCTAATGTTGAAGAAAAAAGTCAAACTATAAAATATTTGAAAAGATTTATTCTAAAGCCAAATATGAGTGACCTATGGCCTGTGACACAGCCCTCAGGAGATCCTGAGAATAGGTGTCCAAGGTACCCAGGCCACAACTTGGTTTTATACATTTTAGGGAGACATAAGGCATCAATCAATACATGTAAGGTGTACATTGTTTAGGTCCAGAAAGATGGGACAATTGGAAAAACGGAAGTGGGGCAGCTTCCAAGTCATAGGCAGATTCAAAGATTTTCTGATTGACAATTAGTTGAAAGAGTTATTATCAATAGAAAGGAATGATTAGGTTACAATAAGGTGTTGTGGAGACCAAGATTATGCAGATGAAGACTCCAGGTAGCAGGCTTCAGAGAAATGTTTCTCTGAAGGTTGTAAATGTTTCTTATCACACTTAAATAGTGTATTCTGGCTGGGCAAGGTGGCTTACACCTGTAATCCCAGCACTTTGGGAGGCCGAGGTGGGTGGATCACCTGGGGTCAGGAGTTCAAGACCAGCCTGACCAACATGGCGATAACTCGTCTCTACTAAAAACACAAAAATAGCCAGGCATGGTGTTGTGTACCTGTAATCCCAGCTACTGAAGAGGCTGAGGCAAGAGAACCATTTGAATCCAGAAGGCAGAGGTTGCAGTGAGTCAAGATCACACCACTGCACTCCAGCCTGGATGACAGAGTAAGACTCTGTCTCAAGAAAAAGAAAAAAAAAAAAAAAAAAAAGAGGGTGCTCTATCAGTAATTTCAAAAGGAAAGAGGGTGTAATGAGGCATATCCAGCATCCCCTTCCTATCAGTTTTCAGGTTAACTTTGGAATCTTCTTGGACAAAAGCAGGGGTCCATTCACATGGTTGGTGAGGGTGGCCTTAGAATTTAATTTTTTTGGTTTACATTAGGAATGCTTCCACATTCTCTCAAACAAATTTTTGTCATGGTTTTAAACAGTGTACTCTGGCTAAGCCATTGCAGTTCTCAAGCTGTTAGGTTTCATTTTTCTCCTCCTGAGGATTCTAAATCAGTTTCACTTTTCAGTTTCCTCTTCCCTGCCCTAAAGGCAATTACTCAGAAACAGGGAGAAAACATCAGCTGATGCATTCCCCATTCTCCCACCCCTTTTTATAGTTCCGTTAGTATTTACTTGAGGCAGACAGGAAGACTTCTGAAGAACATCAGCCTGGTCACCAGCGTTTTGGAACAACAGAGAAGCAGAGGACAGTCATGAGGTCAGTGAAATAAGAATGCACAGTCATGTTTGTTTTTGTGTGTAAATTGTAAGCTGAGCTTTTTACCGTGCAGGCAAGTTCCTGAATTGTTCTAATGTTTATAGATTCAATATGTCTTTAACAGTTTGAGCATTTGTAAAATCTTTGAGGCTTTTTTTCCTGTGGCTTTTTCTGGTGCACACACAGGCTCCTTAAGTTTCTGAAACTGTTCCCTAAGGAGCTATGTAAGGGGGAGGCAGAGCGGGGAATGCATCAGCAGATGTTTCTAGAGCTATTTCCTGCGATGAGAGGAAGGATTGGCAGGAGCAGTGTGTTTCATTCAGCCACAAACTTTGCTGATTCAAGGGTAGACCTAAGGGAATTACTCTTTATGGGCTTTTCTGGTATTGTCATTTTGTTTGAAAAGACTAAGTCATGGGTTTTTTAATTGTAATTTTTAAAGGAGGCATTTATTTTCAACAGATATTGTGAAATATAAAATCAGTACTGCAAACCCACTCACGAAAAGGGCAATTTTGCCCTAAAACGTTGCATTACTAAGGTGGGAAGTAGAAGAAACAATTCTTACAAATGGGCGTTTTTGTCATTTCTTATATAAAAACAAATCCAAAGCTTGGCATTTGTTTTTATTGACATAGTAGAAGCTGGTCAGCAGCAGAAAATAATTTCTTCTTAAAAACATAATGACCTAATCTCTTATCTAATACTGGTCTAGTCTCTAATGATGGAAAGCAGATCCGTAGTTGCCTGGAGGTGGTAAAGATTGAGTAGGAAGGCTTCCTAAAGAATATTTTGGAATCATAGGAATAGTCTATAGGGAGGTAATGGCAGTGGCTACATAAGCATAAACATTTATCAAAACTTATCAGACTATACACTGAAAATGGGTGCATCTTGTTGTATGTAAAGTATAATCTCAGTAAACTTGATTTTTAAATATAAATATTGACCTCCTGGAGTTTAGGGAGAACTAAGAGAAAAGGATGTGTTTCCCACCAAGCATAAATGGGGAAGAAGTGAGGAGATGAGATTGCCACGGAGGGAAGACCCCATGGACCATTCAGGGGTGGAGAAAAGGAAAACTGGTTTCCCTACCTTCTGCCCCAAGGACTTAAAACTGCTCTGCAATGTCATGTTTGGGGATGGGATGGGTAAGAGGAATTCACTGCCAAATACCTCATGCTACCCCTTTTATATAGAGTAAGTTTCTGGTCAAGAGTGATGTAAATTGTGTCTGTGTGAGTGGGGTTGACCAGAAAGCCAGGCACTACCCAGCATCTTAGTAGTCAGCTTGCAGGAGAGGTTTTACAGTGTCCTGTCTTTAGGTGTGTCTACAGCCAGGGACCTGAGGAGGTCTGGCAGGGGAGCGGTCTCTGAACTATGCTGGACTCAAGTTCACATCAAGGTGCTCCTATTTCCAGAGGCTGTAGGAACAGGAGAAAGCTGAGCTACTCCTCCCCAGCAGTGCTAAAAATTTCCAAATGAGAAAATCACCTAGAGAACTCCCTGGCACCTGCCAGCTGATGGGCATCTTTCTCTGCCGCATCCACTGAGGAACTGTTACCCCCTTGACACACTCACAAATTCACTTAAAATTATAACACAAATATATTAATACCAACAATCATGGTGGTAACATTTCTTCGTGATCTGTAGTTAGTGGGCACTGTGTTAAGTGCTTTTTACACATGACCTCATATCACCTTTCCAACAGCCCTGGGAAGTAAGAGCTATTATTTCTACTATTAGTCTCATTTTCTTGAGGAGCCAAATGGGGCTTAGAAGAGCAAATTACTTGCCCAAAACATCAGACAGGGAACAGGTGTCAGAGCAGTGTCATTAATGGAAGCGCCAAACTCTATTGCTGATCATCTCTGTGCCCAAAGGCCAAAAGGTGAAAAGATCTTAATGCTTTCAACTATGCTCACTTTAAAGAGGGGGCCAGGGACGGGCTTCCTATCTGGAGAGTGAGGGCTGGCCTTCGATGGTTACCCACCCCTTAGAGTGGCCAAAGCCAGAGCTGAACTCAGATCTTGGAGGAGGGTGTAAGTGGATCTCCCCAGGGTATAATTTTCTATTATTTGGATGGAGGGGAAAAGGAAACTCATCCTAAGGCATTTTAAGGATATGGGAATGAGGCTCAGTGATGTGACTCAAGAACTAGTCAAAGAGGTCACTGAAATCCAGGTGTCCTGTGGTTTTTCCCTTCACTTAAGATTGTCTGATAACGCTGTTTAATTCACCACATTAGCTCCACAAATAAAGGGGAAAGCTGCTTTTTAAAATACGTCTATGACAGCACTTCTCAAAATGTGGTACAGGAATTCCTGCCACTGAATTTCCAAGGTACTTGTGAAAACTCAGGTTTCTAAGCTCACATCAGATTCACTGCACCAGAATCTCTGGGAGTAGGACCTTGTAATCTGTACGGTCAACATACAATAATCAGAAGGCTCAGGATCCAGTTAAAAGAGTGTATTCAAGTGAAAAGTTGAGGGCAGCAGTCCCAGGAGTAGAGCTACACCCAAGAATGGTGGACAGTACTTCCAGTGTTGAGAAAAATGAGGACTGTTTACATAGGCAAAGACAGAGGTGTTGAACAGAGTTATAACTTTTGTTGTTGTTGTTGTTATTGTTTTTGAGACAGGGTCTCACTCTGTCACCCAGGCTAGAGTGCAGTGGCCTGATCATGACTCACTGCAGCCTTGGACTTCTGGACTCAAGGGATTCTCCTACCCCAGCCTCCCAAGTAGCTAGGACTATAGGAGCATGCCACCACACCTTGTTAATTTTTTGTATTTTTAGTAGAGATGGGGTTTTGCCATGTTAGTCAGGTTGGTCTTGAACTCCTGACCTCAAGTGATGCACTCACCTTGGCCTCCTAAAGTGCTGGTATTATAGGCATGAACCACCATGCCTGGCCAACATTTTCCTTACAGAGGCTAATATATAGATAGACAGTTTGATTGGCTACTATAGATTACGGTCCAAGGGAATCGCTTAATATTCTTTTGTAAAAAGGTTAACATGGTTGGTGGCGGTTGCTATGCCCCTAATCCCAACGCTTTGGGAGGCTGAGGAAGGCAAATGCTTGAGCTCAAGAGTTGGAGACCAGCCTAGGCAACATAGTGAGACCCTGTCTCTACGAAAAATACAAACATCAGCCAGAAGTGGTGGCATGTGTCTATAGTCTCATTAACTGGAGGTTATTTTATTTTTGTTTTTTTTTTTAGGTCTCACTTTGTTGCCAACATGGGTCTTGAGCTCCTGGACTCAAGCAATCCTCCTGCCTCAGCCTCCCAAAGTGCTGGGATTACAGGCTTAGTCACTGTGCCCAGGCCCAAGCTTTGCTTTATTTTAACATCCTTCCCACCCCTGAAATGTGAAGGAGGGATTTCTTCCTTCACATTACAGACATACAATGCAGGAAGCCTTATATGCATGAGGTAGGAGGATCACTTGAGCCTGGGAGGCAGAGGTTGCAGTAAGCTGAGATAGTGCCTCTGCACTCCAGCCCAGGTGACAGAGTGAGATCCTGTCTCAAAAAAAAAAAAAAAAAAAAAGGTGTCTATTTCCACAACATGCGGTCTAGGTTTTAATAAAGATAAGGAGTCTGGTTAACGTGTAACCTCTCACCACACAGGTCAGAAAGCAGCAGTCATGCACCTGAGAATAAAAAACGGTTGTGTTACGAGAGTCAGTTTTCAGGGCTTAACTTTTTGCCTCTTGACATAATAAATTTGGAAGGTTCTAAAAGGTTATTTTCTCTTTACAGTGCCTTTTTACAACTTTCAAACCACAGTTTTCTGAATCTGTCTGGAACATATTCCCAGTGTGAGTGAGCTCAGTTCTCACAGATTCAGTTTCAGTTTCCCCACAACAGGAATCTTCATAGGGTTTCGTCAGTTTCACTTTCCTTTTCCATTTCATAAAAGCACAGACCTAACAGCACCCTGGGCAGAAACCTCTTCAGCATTTGCTTGGAACCAGTAAGCTAAAAATAAAAGCAGCCGGGACCCCAGCTTTTCAGAACTGCAGGGAAACAGCCATCATGAGGTAAATAGTTCCTGCTTTTCTGATAGGAAACTGAATTTCTTACGTACAATTTCCTGACTTATGCTATTTCAGTGTTAGCTTAGAGATTAAATATGCATTTATCTAATTCAAGCATAAGCCTATCTTACCAATTTGTGCATTTTTATTTCTGTGTGGCTTTTTGTGATGTATAGAGTCAGGCAGCCAAAGGACACAGGGAAATGGGAGCTGGGAGCTGGGAAGGGACCAGGCATATTGAGAGAGCCCCAAGACATAGTCAGTTGGAACATAACCAACATATGTGCAGGACAAGCTGCCTCAGAGATTTCCCTGGAAATACCCACTGTTACCACTTTAAGAAGGCCACTTGCTGAAAATTTCAAGATTCTACTCTAATGGCTTTGACTAGGAAGGAGATACAGCATCTACCCTGGAGTCTGTGGGCAAGACAGATGGTCATGATCTGGGTTGAGTGAGAGACTGTACCTAGGTTGATTCTGGGAATTCCTAAGGACTAGCAGTGCTAACTTTAACTGCTTTAGTACACGAAATCCCATGTCTGTAATCTGAGGCCATGGGTAATCTCTTTCAAGACCCAAGGGAATCCTGTCTCCCTAAGGTATTCTACTAGGTGCAGACCACCCAGGTAGGACTGGCATTCTACTCCCCACATTTCACCTGAACCTAGCTATTCCATATAAATAACTGTAGTCATCATTACACCTGCCTGCCTGTATTTCCTTTAAATATCTGAGTGGATTACTGTTAACTAACTTATTTATATGTATAAGGAATATTTAGAGTAACTTTCAAAAACTTATCTGAGGTAAATTATTGAGGAAGCCTTGGCAATTGGAGTATTTGTTTTAAGAAGATATAGTATCATAATGCAAACCTCCTGAACTCTGGCTCTGGGGTTCATGTTTCTTCTTATCCAGATCTTAGACCTCCCAGTCCAATATATTTTGCTCCAAATTTTACTTCAAGGAGAGATCAGGTATCAAATACTTCATCAAATTGGAGACTTTAGGGAGTAAGGCTTAAGAAAAATCAAGGGAATCAAGGGACCTGAATTCCAATTTTCAATGGCTTTCATAATCATAAAGCCACATGAATAGTTGGCTATCTTCAATAAATTGCTCCATGTTATCGTTAAAATTCTCAACCTGGCCAGCTCTGGCATGGTACAGTGTTGGTGGGGATGGAATATCCCTGAGAAATCCATATTCAGAGATCTTCCACAAGTCCAGAAATGTTCAGTGTGCTTTTGTGCTTGTCCAACACTTTCTTGAACAATTTATATCTTCTGAAGCTGATACATGACAGGGTAGAAATATGTTTCATATTGGAGGTAGAATCTTGAGCTGTTAAGTCCTTAAAATTTAGTTTGGTAAGATCGTGGTACACTGATACGTCAAAGCCCTCTTGCCTCCAAAAAAAAAAAAAAAAGAAAGAGAATGATAATGTCATCAGACATACAAGGTGGCTTCTGGTTTTGCTGAGGCAAACACATCCAACGTCATCTATCATTCTGCAGGTTCACTGGATACTCTATTAATTACTGAGTGTTCAGCTGTTATTTTCAAGCACCTATATGTACCTACAAATCTGCAGAAACATTATAGTCATCTGAAACTCACCATTTATCTCCTTTCTCCTTCTAGTCTCCCTAATTCATCTATTGGCAAAATGAACTCATGTTTTCATGACTTTATTATGACTTAGTGGCATAACAGATATAAGCACAGTTGTTCAATTATCATTGTCATAACTTTTAGTATCCACTTTTTAATAATTGCTAACTTGACTCTCAACTTATAGTCCTTCATACAGGGTAGTTAGAGCCCTCAGGTGAAGCCAAATTGAAAACCCCTAGTGCTAGGTGTGGTGGGTCACACCTGTAATCCCAACAATTTGGGATGTCAAGGAAGAAGGATTGCTTGAAACAAGGAGTTTGAGGCCACTCTGGGCAATATAGTGAGACCCTGTGTCTACAGAAAAAAGGGAAGGAAGGGAGGAAAGAAGGAAAATAGGGAGATGGGGAGAGAGGGAGGGATAGAGGGAAGGGAGGGAGGAAGGAAGGGAGGGAGGGAGGAAAGAAGGAAGGAAGGAAGGAAGGAAGGAAGGAAGGAAGGAAGGAAGGAAGGAGGGAGGGAGGGAGGGAGGGAGGGAAGGACCCTAGAATGGTAGAATCAGTAGGGAAGATACTGACACTGGAACTGTAGACAGAGACCAAGAAAAGGAAAGGAGCTGCCCCCAAATCGAGGCACCCACATAAAGAGGCTATCTGAATATAGATAGCAACTTCCCTCCTCACTCTCACTGCCTTGAGTTGATTCTGCATCTCTCACTATAAAGCATTTCATGTGCAATCATATTGGGTCAGAAATGGTTTAGATCAGCGTTACTAGAGAGAGAGACATGTAGTATAATAGATCAGTGCACTTGCAGTAGCAGTGTGGGGGCCAGTGCTGGTCCATGGTAAATCGCAAATAAAGTCAGTGGCTCCTTACAGAATCAAATGCATTCAATTTAGAGAACTTTGTTTATTCTGAGATTACTTTTTCAGTGACAATGAAAATTCTTTCTTTCTTTTATATCTTTTAAAATAAAACATTGGTCAAAATAGATGGTTGATGTCTTTTTGGATACATTTAGCAGCCCTGTTTGGTTCATAACTTTTCTCTGAAGTTGTACTTGTCTGTGAAATCCAAAAATGAGGACAACATTTGGTTTAATGATTTCTGGAGGTTCTTTCCAATCTTATGGTGCCATGAGTCACAAACTCAGAGTCTGGAACATAAAGCCCAAGCCCCAGGCAAATGTAGATATGGGAACACACTTTGAGAACTCTTGCAATGTATCCAGCTAAATAAGGCAAGCAATCTCCTTTATGTCTTCCAACTACAAAACAAAAATGTGTCCATTTTGTTTGCTGAAAAAAATTCATTCTCTCTGGGAATCTGGCTTGTGTGGTAGGGAGACTACTTCAATCACACTCAAGCTGAGCCCCAGGGGGTCTGTTTGCAAGTGGTGGAAAAGATGAAGGGAAAAATACCTAAATCACATAACATGTTGGCAGACATACCTGGGCTTTTATTTCTTTATGTGTCTCCTAACAAAACTTCAAGCACCTGGGGGGCAGAGAAGGTTGGGATAATCTCTATTTTTCTTAGTATCCATAACATCTAATAAAGTGACAAAAAGAGGTAGCCCAATTGGATAGCTAAACAAACCTTACCCAAAATGTACAAGGACTTAGAACTGGCTTGGTTTGTATGTATGTATGTATTTATGTATTTATTTATTTATTGAGACAGGGTCCTACTATATTACCCTGGCTGGAGTGCAATGTTGTGATGTCAGCTTATTGCAACTTCCACCTGCTGGGCTCAAGTGATCCTGCTGCCTCAGCCTCCTGAATAGCTGGCACTACAGGCATGTACTACCATGCCTGACTAATTTTTGTATTTTTAGTAGAGACAGACCTTCACCATGTTGTCCAGGCTGGTCTCGAATTCCTGGGCTCAAGTGATCTGCCCACCTTGGCCTCCCAAAGTGCTAGGATTACGGGGGTGAGAGTCACCACTCCTGGCCTGACTTGGTAATTGAGCAGAGTTCTCAAAGATCTCAGTTCCTGTCACTGAAGCTGTCTTCTTATCCATCTTACCTCACCTATATTTGCTTATACAACATAAGAGATGTGTTTTGTGGGTGTCTGCACAGAGCATAGCTATAGAAAAGTGAATGTATGAAGCAACTAACAATTTTTTCAACCTTGCGATGATACAAAAATGATACATTCATTCTTGTTTTTCCCTTACAATACAGTATTCCATAAGTTACATGAGACACTCAACACTTTAGTATAAAATCAACTTTGTATTAGGTGACTTTGCCCAACTATAGGCTACTATAAGGGTTCTGAGTGCATAAGCTATGGTGTTTGGTAGGTTAGATGTATTAAATGTATTTTTTGATTTGCAATATTTTCAATTTATGATGGGTTTATCAGGATGTAACCCCATCCATAAGTCAAGGAACATCTGTATAAGAGATTTATTATGTGGAATTGGCTCGTGTGATTATGGAGACTGATAAGTCCCATAATGTTGTCTGCAAGCTCGAGACTAAGGAAAGTAGAAAGTTGATGGTATAGTCCCAGTCTAAGTCTAAAGGCCTGAGAACTAGGCAAGCCAATGGTGAAAGTTCTAGTCCAAGACTAGTCCAAGGGCAGAAAAAGACCAATGTCCTAGCTCAAGCAGTCAGGTAGAGGAAGAATTCTTACTTCCTCTGCCTTTTTGTTCTATTAAGGCCCTCAATGGAATGGATGAATGCCCATCCACATTCAGGAGAGCAATCTGCTGTACTCAGTCTACCAATTCACATGTTCATGTCTTCCAGAAACAACCTCACATACACACCTAGAAATAATGTTGGATCAAATATCTGGGCATCCTGTGGCCCTGTTCAGTTGACATACAATTAATGATCACAGGATGCAATGCTTGGCAGTATACATCACAGTGACCATGTTTATTTTCTCCACAGTGAAATCACCAAGAATTCCCTGGAGAAAATCCTTCCACTGCTGAAATGCCATTTCACCTGGAAGTTATTCAAGGAAGAAAGTGTCACAAGGGATCTAGAAGATAGAGTGTGTAACCAGATTGAATTTTTAAACACGGAGTTCAAAGCTACAATGTACAATTTGTTGGCCTACATAAAACACCTAGCTGGTCAAAACGAGGCAGCCCTGGAATGCTTACGGCAAGCTGAAGAGTTAATCCAGCAAGAGCATGCTGACCAAGCAGAAATCAGAAGTCTGGTCACTTGGGGAAACTATGCCTGGGTCTACTACCATATGGGCCGACTCTCAGATGCTCAGATTTATGTTGACAAGGTGAAACAAACCTGCAAGAAATTTTCAAATCCATACAGCATTGAGTATCCTGAGCTTGACTGTGAGGAAGGGTGGACACAGCTGAAGTGTGGAAGAAATGAAAGGGCAAAGGTGTGTTTTGAGAAGGCTCTGGAAGAAAAACCCAACAACCCAGAATTCTCCTCTGGACTGGCAATTGCGATGTACCATCTGGATAATAACCCAGAGAAACAGGTCTGTGACAATGTTTTGAAGGAGGCCATAGAGCTGAGTCCTGATAACCAATATATCAAAGTTCTCTTGGCCCTCAAACTGCAGAAGATGAATAAAGAAGCTGAAGGAGAGCAGTTGGTTGAAGAAGCTCTAGAGAAGGCTCCTAGCCAAACAGATATCCTCCGCAGTGCAGCCAAATTTTACAGAAAAAAAGGTGACCTGGACAAAGCTATTGAACTGTTTCAACAGGCACTGGAATCCACACCAAACAATAGCTACCTCTATCACCAGATTGGGTGCTGCTACAAGGCTAAAGTGAGACAAATGCAGAACACAGGAGAATCTGAAGCTAGTGGAAATAAAGAGAAGATTGAAGCACTAAAGCAATATGCTATGGACTATTTGAATAAAGCTCTTGAGAAGGGAATGAATCCTCTGATTGCATACTCCGATCTTCCTGAGTTCCTGGAAGCAGAATGTTACCAGACACCATTCAATAAGGAAGTTCCTGATGCTGAGAAGCAGCAATCCCATCAGCGCTATTGCAAACTTCAGAAATGTAACGGGAAGTCTGAAGACACTGCTGTCCAACATGGTTTAGAGAATTTGTCCATAAGCAAAAAATCAACTGAGAAGGAAGAGATCAAAGACCAACCACAGAATGTATCTGAAAATTTGCTTCCACAAAACGCACCGAATTATTGGTATCTTCAAGGATTAATTCATAAGCAGAATGGAGATCTGCTGCAAGCAGCCAAATGTTATGAGAAGGAACTGGGCCGCCTGCTAAGGAATGCCCCTTCAGGCATAGGCAGTTTGTTCCTGTCAGCATCTGAGCTTGAAGATGGCAGTGAGGAAATGGGCCAGGGTGCAGGCAACTCCAATCCCAGAGAGCTCATCTCTAACTCAGAGCTCCTTAACAGAGGAGAAAGGAGAGAGGAGAAAAACAGAGCTTCAGAAGCCTGCAATGGTGGTTGTGAGGGGTAAGAGGATAGGAAGACAGGAGGCCCCAACCTGGGGTTGCTGAGCAGGGAAGTTATGCACGTTGCTTGAAGGTACATTTTTAAAGAGTTGTTTTCTCGTGTTCGTTATAGTTCATTAGAGTTACATAGTCAGAAGGGCTTGCAGCTGGTCACTAGTAGCAATAAATGCTTCAGGCCTACGTGATGCTTAGTTCTCAGTTCTCATTCAGTTCACTATATAACCCTCATTCCTGCCCTTCCTGCCAAGGGTCATAAGTGGTGACCACCTAGCAACAAAATTCATAGTCTCATCTCATTTTCATCCAGCCTTCCGGACCTTGAAGATTAACTTTTGACTAACCCTGAAATATCCCTTGCCTCACTTATGGCTTCAGCAGTGTATTTATGTGTATTCTTGATAGCAATACTGCAATCAATATGTATTGATAGTAATGCTACAATAAATCTAAACCATTTCAACTCTATCAGAATAGAGGTAATTGTGTGGTTTGTGTGTGGGACTATGACAGTAATATTAACTCCCAAAGTGTCTCCTACTAGGGACAGTGAGTAATTGCTAAGCCGTACCACGCTATTCTCGGCATGTCCATTTGAATTCCTTCCTCAGAATGAACACCCTCCCACCGTAGCCAGCCTATCCTTACATTATAGGAACTATGACTGTCTTTCCAGCTCAGGTGTCCTAGCTAAGCCCCGTGCCCAGTTAGTAGCTCAGTTGACAGGGTTGCTGTGAGCCCAGGTTAGTGCCCAGTTGACAGGGTTGCTGTAAACCCAGGAATACCTGGGCAAATGCTTCCCTGACAGAGTATGAGGGACACCAGTGTGAGGCTGGCCAAAAGGGCAGAGATCCATCCAGGTCTGCAGCAGTCCCTTTCAAACTGCCAGTGTCTGACATAGTGAGCTCCATTTGTTCAGGTAAAAGTCAGACCTGGATGGCAAATTTCTCTTAAACACATGGGGAATGGTCTCCTTGGACTTTTAAGATTTTCACCTGCAGCTCATTTTTAATTCATTCATAAATATAATATCTAGTCACAAGGGTGTAAACAGAAAAGTAAAAATATATAAATGTATAGGATGATCATTTGAACACTTTCTTTTTACATTCCTTATCCCCTAGGAATTAAGGTAATATTTGAAATAAATTCTGAAATGATTTCCTAGCTGATTTAACATCTGGAAACTTGCTTGTAGGTTGATAAGTGGCAGAAAGACTGTGACCCTAAAGGAGCTCATCTCTTTGAATTTAGAATTTAGACCCTATACCAGGAACCCACAAACATTTGCTCTCTGGTATTCACAGACATAGTATATGCACCTTGGACTACTTCCAAACTCAAAAATCTAAACCTGCTAGGGATTTTGAGTTTTGCCAAGGCATTATACCATTTAAGAGACTAATACAGTATATCATGGTGTCTATAGCTAATAATGATATGTTGCATACTTGAAAATTGCTGAGAGTAGATTTTGTGTTCTCACCACTAAAAAAAAAAAAAAGGTAAGTAGCTGAGGTAATGTGTATGTTAAGTAATTTGTTTTAGCCATTTCAGAATGTATACATATATTAAAACATGCTGTACACCATAAACATATACAATTTTTACTTGCCAACTAATTTTTTTAAATTTTTTATTAAAGAGGCTAATGTGGGGTGACTACAGTTAATGAATAAACATCCAGTAGGGCCAGCATGCCCATGCCAAGTATCCTCTGCCTGTCATCATTTATACAATAATTCTAATGAAATGCTATATGAAATGGGACAAGTTACCGAAGAACACCAGAGATGATCACCCTTAAGATATTATAAGATGGGCAGAGAGCACAGACTTCCACTCTTAACTCCTGCCCAGCCCAAGCCCCGGGACCTACTTGACAAAGTAGGAGACCCTGGTTCTTTCTAAGACTTTGGCTGACAGCAGAAATAACCTCACCATTCTCCTGCTCCTTAAACAACAGAAGATTTAGGGCAATTGTCTAATAGGAAACAGCATACCACAAATACAATTCCTGGGTTACAGCAAGCAAAGCTGCTTTTCTAATGACTCCTGTTTTCTATGCATATTCTGTGTCCAGCATCCCACCTTCCAGATGTGGTTAGAAAAGGGGTCAGACCTTAGTGAGTGCTGGTGACGTGAATTGCATGCTGCAGCACCTCATCAGCATCTTTGTCCAATTCAATTTCATGTTTTCTGCAGAATCAGGAGCCGGCCCCTCGTTCACACACATTGGTCAGACTGGGCTTGTAATAACAATTTAGACTAATCACTGACAAGCAGGGATGGGGAGCACTGAAGCCAGCTATTGGCAGTGTCCAGGAGCAGTCGGGCATTCTGCCACTGAATACTGCTTTTGTAATCTTGTCATATGACAAAGCACTATGATACTCTTGTTTTCCTTGGATTGGTTTAAGGGCTGTTGAGAAGCAGGAAATACTCTGCCATGGGAAGTCTACTGATCTGTAAAAATTTATCAAAATACACAGGAGCAGGAATGGAAAGTGGAAAAATTACAAACTGTGATGATCAGCTCCAAGAGTGTATAAGGGTAAAAAAAAAAAAAAAAAACTGTAATACCTTTCCTCACTTATTGTAAGAGTTACGGCTGACACTCCTATAATAAAACACAAGTTAAAGAGAAAAGCATAACAAATTTATTTAATAAAAGTTTTATGTGATATGAGAGCCTTCAGAAATGAAAACCCAAAGATCCAGGGAAAACTGTTTTTGTGCTTGGGCTCCATGAAGAATGAGCAGCTGTGTAGAGATGTGTTTGGATAAGAGTATGATCTAATGGTAATAGACTGGGGGTGAGGGGGAGGGATGTGTTCAAATTCTTCTTGGACTCTCTGTGTAGCATTTCTTCTTTGCAGGTATGGGGCAGGATTCCTCTGGAATAACGGTCTTCAAATGAGAAGGGAGAGAGTGACCTTCCTAAGTTTTATGGCTTGCTTTCAGGAGAGGGCTGCTAGTTTCTATTATCTGCCTTGCAGAAGAGGAATTCTAATTTATGTGGTTCACTCCAGGAGAGAAAGAAGCATGAAAGATAGGAGGGCAGGAGAAGGTCAAAGAGATCTTTCTTTGGAGGCCTTTCCAGCATCTTTCGGTTCAAAGTACTCAGCACACCAAGGCGCTATACTTTGGGGTATCATGTTCTGAGAGCCAACAGCTACAATGAAGAAGTATGAGAGCAGTCACTGAGTAGGAAGGGAGCTTTCAAATAACACAGGAGTCATAATGGAGAGCAGGGTCTGACCCTAGCAAGTGTTCCTGAGGCCTCCCAACTGCCCTATGGGGCAGTACTTATGTGTAGGACAGTAATATGAGGAGCTACACTCAGGAAGCTTCTTGATCTCAATTTTTATTATGATTAGTTTCTGATTTGGGATCTTCCTCACTTAATTAAATAACATTAGTCCAAGTATCATTCAATAAATTTTATTAATTTTTTGAAAGTGCCTTGGCTTTGGGTCTAGACCCATTTAAACCTCACCTCTACTAATTAATATCTCTACAATGTTGGAAAAAATCGCTTAACCTCTGTTATCCTAAGATATTTCTATAAAACCTGGGAATAATAAATTATACTTCACAGAAGATTAAATGTGTTTCCTAACAAGCATTATGGTAGACCAGATATACGCAGAAGAAAAAGCCCGTGTAACACAATAAAAAACGCTGTATAATCTGCAAAACTTTTTAAATGTATAGCTGCATTTAAAAGACAGTAAGGAATTCCATGGATTGCAGAAATGACAGGAATGTGAAAATCCACCAGAATAAGCAAGTGTTCATTTGTGCTGGTGATCTACATCACTTGCTGGTGGCCTACATTACATTATGAAGGAGATAGAAGACAGCCTGGGACCTGCACATGATACATTATATAATAGAACCCACGTAAAGCCAGGACCCATTCAGAGGTTAAACTGGAGAACAAACACCTTGCAGACCTAAATGATGGGGATACACATGCCTGTTTTTGGCTCTGGCCCTAAGTAAAGCAGAGAGAAAACAAAGTCTGTGATAATTTCTAATCTTAAGCCAAGAAGCATTATTCTTTTGGGCTGACATTCTCACTATCTATGTGGCAAAAAAAAAAGCAGAAAATTTCATTTTAAGCAATTCTGGCTTGGTAATGTTCCCATGCATCTAAGAAAAGCAAATAAAAACACCCCTCAAAAGGAAATACTTATACTTTTTACATAATTCCCAAATAATTTCCAAGTTTGATAAAGTTCCAAGGAATATTAGGTCATAATGCAAAATCAATGAATACACACAAATAAATAAGCCACAATGTGCAAAAGTTGCCAGGTAATAAACTATAAGCCTGAGCAACAAAACTGTAGATATTCTAATTGAATAGAGAATATAAAAGAATGTATTCAGTACACCTTGGGAGGCCCAGGCAGGTGGATCACTGAGGTCAGGAGTTAGAGACCAGCCTGGCTAACCAGGTAAAACCCGGTCTCCACTAAAAACACAAAAATTAGCCAGGCATGGTGGTACACACCTATAATCCCAGCCACTTGGGAGGCTGAGGCAGGAGAATGACTTAAACCTGGGAGTAGAGGTTGTAGTGAGCTGAGATTGTGCCACTGCACTCCAGCCTGGGCAACAGCGTGAGACTATGTCTCAAAAAAAAAAAAAAATGTATTAATGTATTTAGTAAATTTCAAGATAACGAAAGAAAAAATTAAGTGTTATCAAAGGAACAGGCTGGACGAAGTGGCCCATTCCTGCAATTCTAGCACTTTGGGAGGCTGAGGAGGGTGGATCACCTAAGGTGAGAAGTTCAAGACCAGCCTGGCCAACGTGGCAAAACCCTATCTCTACTAAAAAAAAATACAATAATTAGCCAGGTATGGTGGCATGTGCTTGTAGTCCCAGCTACTCGGGAGGCTGAGGCAGGAGAATCACTCAAAGCCGGGAAGCGGAGGTTGCAGTGAGCCAGGATTGCACCACTGCACTCCAGCCTGGGTACCAGAGCCATCTCAAAATAATAATAATAAAAGAAATACAAAAATTCAAATAATAGAAATTAGAAACTCAAAGGATTTGTTGAAAAGTAGTTTATACATACCTGAAAAGGCATTTATTGATTTAGAAGGCAGATTGGAAAAAACTATTCAGAATGCAGCACAGGAAGACAATGAGATGGAAAATCAACAGAGATATTCAGAGACATGGAGAACAAAGTGAGGAAGTTAAAATGCATGTGATCAGAGTTGCAGAAGGACGAAAGAAAATGGAGGAAAGGCGATAGTTGAAGAGACAATGATTGAAATGTTCAGAATTAATGAAAAATGCTAATCCTTAAATACAGAAATTTCCCAAAAGATCACCCAAGTAGATGCCTAAGCAGATGTCATCTAAAAACATGGTAGTATCTTTTAAGTGCCTTGGGGCAAAAAGATTTTTAAAACGAAAAAAAGAAATACGTGTGAAGGAATTGGTATTAGGTTAAGCTTGAACGTCTCAATAGCAACCAAAACCCAGTGGGAAAATATTTTCAAAATGCCAAGAGGAAAATAATTGTCAGCCTAGATTTGACTTTTTATCCCTTTTTATTTGAAATGATTTTAGACTTAAAGTTGTAAAAATGGTACACAGAGTTCCCATATACCCTTTATGCAGTTTCTCATCATGTTAAAACCTTATATAACCATAGAATAATCCTTAAGACAGGAAACAAACATTGCCAACATATCATCAATTAATCTACAAGTCTTGTTCAAATGTTACCAATTGTCCCACTAATATTCTTTTTCTAGTTCAACATCCAACCTGGGATCTTCCCCAAAATGATCTTTGTTCACAACATCATAATTCACCCTGCAACACAATTTCTACTCAACCAGAGTTTGATGAATAAAATGATTTTCTCTTTGCCATTGTCCCCTTATATGAATATCTCATAAAGCATAAAGGTCAGGGTGGTTCCTGTTAGAGTATTCACTTCCCTTGATTCCCTGCCAAATATCATTTCACAACCCTCCTGAGCTCCCTCATGATTGTAAAGGGAAAGTCGCTGACTCCAATCTGATATAATTAAACAGAAGACTTTTTGATGACCCTGCACCTTCTTCTCTTCTGATTTATGTGGAAACATACCAGCAACAAAATCCTGAAACAGTATCCACCAGGGTATAGACAGTTGTCCTACGTACGCCCAAGAATGATGCAGCATCCCTGGCCATGTGCATGATGGCTGGAGATCTGGGGACAGCTAGTGTGTGGAAGGAAAGCCTTACAAAGGGAAATCCTCATGAAAAATCCTCATAGGAAATTGTGTAAGTTGGAGAAACAGCCACACTCAATCAGTCTTAGCCTGTCTTTTCTCTCTTTTGCTCTACCAGAGGGAGCTGTTACCATCTTATAATAGCCTGCTGCATTTTTTTTTCTAATGAGAATTCTAGAAAGTCGACATCAGGGTCTCCAAGACTCCCCTACATTTGATGCTTCACTGGAAAGATGAGCAGGATTCAACGTGTGGTCATACTCAGAGCTAAGACTCACTATAACAAAAGTATACAGAGCAAAATTAGCACAGAGAAAAAGTGTACGGGGACAAGTCCAAAGAAAATCAGGTATAGGTTTCCAAGAGTGCCGGTAGACTCATCAGGTTGTGCTTAATTCCTCCAGCATCAAATTGTGACAACACATGTGAAGCTACTTAGACTCTGTTCCCAAGGGTTTTACTGGTGGCTGATCATGCAGGCACCCTCTGCCTAGCATGTACCAAAATTCCAGACTTCCAGGAGGAAGCAAGTGTTAGCATAAGCTCCATGATTTGCATAAACAGTCTTAGCATAGTAAGTCACCCATATCAGTTATAGGATAGCTAGAAAACTCCAAAAATGCAAGTTCCCTGATGTTAGCCAAGGGCCAACCTGGAAAGCAAGTCTTTCTGAAGATAACAGTCTCAGACTTGCCATGTTTACTCTTTTCTGCACAGTCCATTCCCTTAGACCTTCAGCAAGGCAACTTTATAGTAAAAGTATTATTCATAGGATCTCTGTCAGTATTGATCTCAGGTTTTTCCAATACACTCAGTATTTATCCTCTTTTAAGGATGCTGAATTTAGCCAGTTTAAACAAATCTGATTAATTATAAAGGTCTATCTTAGAAGTTCAGGCAGCTTTCTCCTTACATGTCTATATTAAACTTTTTACCTGTTGGCACAGCACAACTCAGGCCAGTAAGGTAAAGCAGATCTGAATGAACACCTTCCTGAGCTGAGACAGTGTCATGTTGGTCAGGCATATACACACAAAGCACAATCCCAGAGGACACGCAGCCCAGGCAGACATGCCTTAGGCAGTACAGGTTAACAGCTCCCACCATGCAGCCCTTCACTGTGGGGCCTACCACTGTAAGGTTTTCCCAGTCCAAAACATTCACTGGAGTCCTTGATTTCAGAGGAACTGCCTTCAGGCTATCAGTTCCAAACACTTTTGCCTCAGGAATGAGGATGACATCTGAGGTTTTCTGGATGGAAAGTTTCACAGTGGATCCCCACCCCCACGTGGCCCCACTGCTGTGTGGTGTGCTCAGAGGCTCAGCAGTCTGAATTCAAAGCATTAAGCAAAAGCTTGGAAAGACATTGTGGGAAGATTTCCGTCGGACAGAAGGGAAAGCTTCCAGGAACAGTTCTAGAGAAAGATTGGTAATGACTTCCTCTCCTTTATGCCTCCCTGAGGGCTGAGTTTCTATTTTTCTTCATTGCTACAAAGTCAGAGTGTCCTATTCAGCAATCATATTTTTTTTCAGTTATACCCTACTCTCACACAGATCTTTCAACTGGAAAAATGTATACAAAAAGGACAAACGTGCTTTCACCGAAAAATATTTTCATACAATTTAAGCATAAAGAGATATCAGGTTCATATTGTCTGTTACTGAACCAAACTGGAGTCCACTTGCCCAGGCCAGTAAAGCCAAACACCCACACTGGGGTTTTGCAGCAAGAGAAAGGAGGGCATTTATTTACAGGTTGCCACTCAAGGAGAGTCACACAGCTCACAC